GGTCCACGTGCTCACTGATGCACGCGTTTCACCATCGTGCAGGCACGTGTAGCCGCTTTCTGCAGACCTTCTAGTCCCTCACAAACACAACGTTGAAAATACACGCACAAACGCTCGACAACTTTAAACTTACCTATACTTTCCATTGACATCTACCCTCCCCCCCCCCCCCCCCAGCCTCCAAAGCCTTTTTTGCCAACATCCAACGCCAGGAGCGACCACGTTGTCCCCGCGCTTTTTTGTTTCGTCTTACAATTGTACCCAATTTCGAGGGCTATTTGGCAGTTGAGAAAAGTTCCCCTGCAATCCCACTCGTTTCACGACTTACAATCTTAGACATGTACATGCGAGTGACCACGTCCTAATTCTGCTCAGGCCTCGAAGCTGTAGAGCACAATGGGGTGGGGCGGCCCCGCTGTGACAACTTATTTGTACGTCCAAAGCTTCGAAAGACCAGGCCTGGACCACGCATGCAAAAAACTGGAGGAATGGGAATGGGCAGGATCTGCTTGGAAAACGTTTGGCTGGAATCAACAAGGACTCCATGCTCAGTGAATTCAAAACCAAACCAAGCTAAACCACCAGAGCCATATACGCTGTCCGCAGCGAAACGTGTAATATCAAGAAGGGCTACATGCTTCGTTCGTTGCCACACCATTACGACCTGCTCCCCCAGCATGCCCCAACCCATTGCCAAGGTCGCTGCATTCTACATATTTTGCGTCCATGGTCAGGTGAAAGCTTAATGCGCGTTCGCTGCTGTGATTCGATAGCACAACGCACTATTACTCAATCACAAATAATCGCACAATTTGTGTAGAACAACGGAACACACCAACAAGATTTCGCCAGCGCAGTACCCAAACAATCAGAAGCGACAGCAGTTTCGCAGTTCGCGAGTACAGACAGCCAAAGCGATGTCAGTTTCGAGGATGACAGTTTTGAAGATGGCGAGTGCGCCCACGTCTTCGCCTAGGCGAGAGCGCGGTTTTCATCCCAAATGCGAGCAAGGATCGAGCAAAACCTGCTCCGCAGCGCGAGTGCACCCCGCCTGGCCATTCTGATTCTAACGTCACCCCAACAAAATTTACGGCAGAGACCCCAAACAGTAAGAGACCATGTGAGCCAGAAGTCACAAAGCAACGGCAGTGTCGCACTTGGTGAACACAGACATCCAAAAAGCGACGAAGGTTTCGCAAGTTAGAGAACACCGACGTGCAAAAGTGACAGTCATGGAGTCATGAACATGGAGAACCAGGACATCCATAAAGCTGATGACAGACGGCAGTTTCGCAGTTCGCACAGACGTCCATAATGACAGTTTCGAGGACGGCGAGCGTGGCCTAAGAGGCCCAGAGAAGGCAAGGTAGTGCACCAAAGCTAACTAGCGGCTAGCGAAGCTGGAATTACCACCCCGGGCATAAATGGTGTCACAAGCTGGGGTCGACATCTGAGCCTGTCGGTCTAATGATTCACAATGACATTACAATGACACCAAATTTCGAAGCTGGGAGGGCAAAGGGGTGGGGCGGGGGGGGGGTCCCCATATCTAGACACCAAGCAAAATTGGTCTGTACAAGCCTCGCGCACTGCAAGTACATACCATTTCAACGTCCAGGGGAATTGTGCCTTCATGGTCCCAACGCACTGAATTGTGCATTGATTGCTGCATTTCGAGTACACGAGGCATTGAAAACACACGCGCTCCAAATGCCCGGAAGGACACAACCCGATGGCACTAAAGATTGAAAAACTCAACAGCGCGACCACAAAAAAAGGTTTCTTGATGCTGATGCTGATCCTGAACACAAATTCTTGACCGTGTGCAGAAACGCGTCCTGACAATTCAGGAAATGGGGGTGTGTGTGACCTTAAATCTCTGACATGACAAGCCGAAGGTCTCCTCAAGTCCTGCTTGGCCCAAACAGAAAAAAGATTGTACACAACAACGCCCGCAAGATTCAAGGAGCTGGCTTTCCAAAATCGGACACAATAAACGAAGATCAATTGAGCACCCGGCTCACTTCTAAGAACGGTGATTTGCCAACTCGGCGTGCCATCACTGTGAAAGAATAGGGCTGCTTTTACAGTCAGTCCTCTGCGCCCCCATCCTCACCTCCTGAAAGAACAAGATCTGCAGGAGCCAGTCGCAAACTCTCCACACCCAAGCCTCTCGTTTCGCCAGGAAGTCTTCGAACATGTTGCGAAACTTATCCTTGCATTTCTGTTTGGCAATACGAACCAGCGACCAAGAGCGAAACGTTCGGTGTAAAACAACTCAAACAGTCAAATTGCTAAATACATCATAAACGCACGCATGCTCAAATAGTTGTTTTCACAACTTGGCTGCCGGAACTCGGAACTTTGTTTAAGCGCTCCCAAGTTCTGGGCCCCTGAGTCGAAACCGTTGAGTGCATTTTAAAGCCAACTACAGGCATCAATTGCCCCTCTGCACCGCCCTCCAAAAGTTGCCATGGCTTGCGTTGAAGACCCCGTCCAGTCCCAAATGCCGCAAGCTCCCCCACCTTTGTTCGTTATGTCAACCCCCCGCACAAACTCCCATTCGTGAGGGCCTCAGGCTTCGTAGCCTCCAGGAAGCCCAGTGCTCACCGCGCTCATTTTCTTGAGTCCCGGCACGTACTGGCAGTCAACACCATCAGACTTTGACCCAACACGCGCTTTGCTAGCGAGGAACAAGCACAAGATCAGCCTGTCGTGCGTGGTTGCAAAAGACCGAAAAGGACCGCAAATGCTGTAAGCCCTCGTGGGATCTTGCACTTCCAGAGGTCGATGACTCTGGTGGAGACACCAACGTCATAGCGCAGGCCAGAATGCCAGAATGGTTCTTGCCGTCTCGCGGCATAAAGTGCTTTTCATTGCAGGCATCATGCTCTGCCAAAAGCAATTCCAATTACCAAGCGTTCCGGTGGACTGCATGTTGAAGCACCGAGCCCCTTTAACAGCCCGTAACCATTGCAAATTTGCATGTGCTGCCATGTTTGCCCACCCAGCTACCAAAGTCCTCATTGTCGAAATCCAAGCCCGCTTGCAAGACCTCAGTGATGTGTCCCCAGCGTAAAAAACTCAAAACTGCCTAGAAAGAGATCAGGAGCGGACTTCGTCTCCAAGTGCAAAGTACATGTCCTCGCACGTGGGGCGTCCCAGGAGGTGCAATACTGACTATCGAGTGGTTATTGCTATAGTCGAAGACTGGCACTCGAACACAAGAAGCATGTGTCGACTGATCTGTTGCAAAGTCCGACCGTGTCAGCCATGCAGCATTTTGTTTTTTGTTTATGATGTTTTTTTTGTTTTCTCTTTCTCTCTCCCCCTCCGTTCTACTTACATTCTTTCGTTAGGGCATAAGGGCCGAAACCCTTGCGTTCGACACGTGCCTCTAGAATTTGCTAGAACCCTCGAATGCCATGACATACCGTCCGGCTACATCCTGAAAGAGGCCCCCTGGTGTTGCGTCAGCGCGGTGGCCCTGAAGATGCGGAGCAGCAAGACCATTACTTTGGATTCGGCCCTGGAGGAGGAAGATCCAGAAAGGATTGACAATGTGCAGGCCACGATCCGAGACAAGGAGGGCATACGGTCGCGATGCTTTGTCAGCTCCCAGGGTATCGGATCAAGAACGGTTTCCTTTCCGAATTCAACCTGTGTTTCGCACTTGTGTGTGGTGTGTGATGTGCTCGCTGCCGAAACTGCAGTCTCAAGTGTGCGAACTCCCAAGTTTGTGGCCTTCTTAGGGTTCGATCCGGGGTAAGGCCACTCTGTTGATCGTGTGTCGTGCTTTCCCAGTGCGTGTATGCGCACAGCAAATGAGATGGTCACGCTCCTGAGGAGATTTCTTTCTAGGGCTTTCAGTGTTGGGGTTGGGCTATAAGTACCGAACCAACGTCCTTCCAAGGCATTCTTTAGTACGCCTACTTGCAGCGCCACCTAGGTTGGAACGAGCAAGAGGAGGGCATACCACTGGACAACGCCGCCTCATCTTCGAAGGCATGTAGAAGAATGGAGAAGGCCACAGAAGGCCGCTCTCGCAAGCAACGAGGCGCCCTGTTGTCTTTGGCTTCGCGGTGGTTCATGCGCCAGCGGCGCAACAATCCTGTCTCCAGTGGCTAGATTGTGTGGCGTGCCAAGAAGTGTCGTGGAGTTTGTGGGCATTGTGGGCCCTTCGTGCACAGGCATGCTCCTTTTTGAAGCACTTGATTGTGTGAACATTGCATGCACACCGCATACTATTCTCAGATCTCTACTTCAGCATGTTGGCAGAGTGCAACTCGGCTCAAAGTCATGACGTGAATTCAAAAATCATGCGGAGTGACCCTATGCGCTGTCCCTGCGCCAGTTTTTGGCCGGGATGAGCCACCGGATTTCGTGGGACACACGACTGGATGCTGCCGACTTGTCTTCCAATTGTTGATCCAATTTTGCGCTCACCGGTTCTGTCATAGGTGCAGGCGTCTCCTTGTGACCCTGTACGTTAAGGACATACAGTAGCCGATCCAATGCCAAAACTCTGAAAGCTCGCTTGCCTGGGCTGGCAGCAAAACCGGTCTACCTTAATGTGGACAGCGTTCACTTCACAAAGGCCAAAAAGCGGTCCGCCTTCACGAAGGCACAAGATGGCTCCCAAGCTTGAGCCCTCACTTCATAGCACGTGAAACACGTGCAAGCTTGGCACGCCTATTGGCATAACACCATGATCAGATGGCAACTGCTCGTAATTGTTCTTTGTAAGTGTTCTAGCGGCTTCTAGCGACACCCTTGTCGGGAACTGTCTACAGAAGCGGCCTCCAGGTGTGCCATCTGCAGACTTGGTCCTTCAAGAAGTTGGCACACCTGACTTTGTGACACAGATCCCTAAATCTCTGAAAGGATCCGCAATTAGTGCCGGTAGGACAAGATAGGACAAGTTTCCCACCATTCACCATGAACTTCCGACAAGCTTTCTGCAGGTGACGCCTGCTTCGACGTGAGCCGCACAAGATCCTTCAGATGGTCCCCATCTGCAGACCTGGCAAATGAAAAGTGGTGACTAGGTCGCATATGTCGCATGTGAAACTCTGACAGCTCGGACTTCCAAACCGAGCTTCAAAGATGGGCAGGGCCACGCAATGACGGTAAACCCGGTGAGCGCCTGCAAGGGATAGCATGGCAATTTGCCACAAGCAGCCCGAAATGTACATGTACACAATCGCCATGCTAGCCTGCTTGTGGAGTTGCGTGTTCAATAGTTGCTCGACTGCACCCAGGCGGAGCTCTCCGCCAGCACCAGCCAAGATCTTCTCAATCTTGTGGTGCTGCTCCTCATAGTCCCCCTTTTGAACGAGTTCCCAACGATTGCCCTGCACTGCAGATATTCTCATTGTTCCCATGGCGCCCTTTTCTGCACCATGCTTGTGCTGAGCAGAGCACCAACGCCACGTCAGGGATGCCAGACAGCCTCAGCCCAAGCTGGATATAAGCTGGATAACCGGACCTGCTGCTCAGATGGTGTCTATGTGGAACTAATATTCATGTGAGTGTGTGTCTGCGTAAAGCCCTGAGACTGAGATAGACTGAATCGCCCGATGGTGATATAACAAGTTGCGACGAGCCGGGAAACATATGCCACAAAGTCTTCATCTGGTGGTCTGTCGCGACCACTGTAGGAAGTTGTCTAGACCATCCCGTATACAAGCAACACTAGACGCACCATGCCAAGCATGTCGCTGCACACTCAAGTTTAAGAGCAGTTGGTGTTTCTGTGGATCTGTATTGCCCACACTCGTAAAGCCGTCTTGTCTTTCCATACCTCCAAGGGATTGCAGCATTGCTACTGCGGTGATGCATAGGAAGAGATGCACAGGAAGAGGCGGTTTGACAAAGGAAGAAGATACAACAGCCAATTCCTGCTTTCGTTCTTTCGTAGACACTCTAGGACTGGACGGTACGGAGGAAATCTTTGGGTCAAAACGATGACTGGATGCTTGAACCTGCAACGCACGGCAGTGCGAAAATATGTCAGAAGGAAATTGGAATTGCCCTTGACCAGAGTGTCGCATGTGTGGCTCTTGATGAGTGCCACACGTCGGCGCTTCCTGCAGATGCACGCAGGATGCACTTCTTGCGCGGGCCATGTCAACACATGTCACCTAGCATTTTCAAGCGATCTGCCTTCGAGCCAGCGAGTCTTGAGTTCTGGTTGGAGTCCATTGATACCTGGAGTGTGGATTGCCATGGATTGCGAGAATGTTGCAGAAAGATGCAGAAAGACGGTCGTCCCCGCTGGCCATGTGTCTCACTACTTCCACTTGCTGTGAACATGAAAGTTTTGTTCGATCCCGTGCTTCGGAGACAGTCTCATGACTGTCTGGCGTTGCCAGCTCATCGGGAAGTGCGTACGCCAATGCCGTGGGATGTTCACAAACTTATCTTGCTTGGCAGGGCAAGGCCTGGCCGGCATCTCGCCTGCTCTCAGGAAAAAGAAGGAAAATCTAGTCAAACCAAGCCTTGAGAGGCCTGCGGCCTTGTCATCTGTTCTCATAAATGCTGCATGTATCCACAGCCTCGCTCTGATACACGTACCATGTTTCCCTTCCTGTGCGTAGGCGCAATTAAACTTCGCGCTGTGCTCATGAGCACCCTCTACGGCCAGGCTGTGGAAGATAATCTTGACTTATTCTTGACTTTGCACTCGCAGTGGAGAATTGCCTGTCAAAGCTCGAGAAGGCTGGCTTTCATGTGTGATCGGTTGATCTGATTTGAGTATAGAGCCTGACATGTATTAAACACACACATGTTCATCTGCACCATCTCTTAATGTGCATCAAATCTGTGACACAGGTTCTCAGCCCGTTTGACTTGGGGTTGGCAAAGCTCCGCTCAGAGATCTCAGCGCCAAAGCCTGCAGCGCTAAATCAAAATCGCCGTTTTTCAATCTCAGACATCTTTAAGCTACAATGGGGCACGAAGGAGCCGTGTGAAAGAAGCAGCACAAGCTGATCCCAAGTTCAAGGTCCGCACGAGAGTCGTGGAGGTGGAACTCTTCTCCCGTTGGGTCGAAGATGCAAGAGCTGCCGAGCTGCTCCACCTACGTGCGACAACATGTTACAACATGCTACGTCAAGTTACGTCAAGTTACAAAAGTGCTGCATGCTGCTGCAAAACAGGAGCTCTTCCAAGTTCAGAGCTGAAGGCTATGATAACAGGCTCGGAATATGACCATACAATACCCCATGCGTGACATGCAGTGACCATAAACAGACCATTAGAAGCAGAATGCCATCTGGGACCTGGCAAAGCCCTGAGCTTCGGCTCCAATCGTCTGAGTGGCCTCGGACTGTAAAGAGATGAACTGGTGCATGATATCTTGCACCGGGTGTCTCGGTGAGGTTCATGAAGTTCATGACTCAGGCTGCTGGCCGAACGCCAAGGAGTGGGGTCAGGATCAAGCCGCCACCGACTAACCTCGATCTCCAAATGGCTTCGCATTGCACATGCCGAGTGACCAACAGCACTTGCCCTGGTCCATGTTGTCGTCGGCTCTGGATGGTGTAAGCTGCGGACAATTTTCCCCGTCCCTGAGTGCCAAGATTCATCACAAGCCACATGTCAACGGCTGACCATTCGCGCTTCCGTCTCGTCTCTTGCTACGCATTGGACGTCTCCATCAAGAGTGAGGAGCATGCGATCGTGCACAGCCTGACTGGGCTCGCTTACCTTTTCTTGTCGCTTGACCTTCTGCTTGGAAGCCACGGCAGACGCAGCCTCTAGCACAAGCAGCAGAACACCTGTTCAATAGATGAGCCCGTCTTGTGTGCATGGTAACAGATGATATGTCGCATTTGGAGGCAGACCACGCCGCTTCTCCCAGGAGAGGTCGAGACCTACGCTCTCAGCCAGGCATGTCAGCAAATGTCAGACTTGTCGGCACTCTGGTTCGCAGAATCTCGCAGATGTGGCAATGCACACTTTGCTGCGCGCGTGCCATGGTGAACGATAGATTTGGACAGCTTTGGCTCTTCTCGCCAGACATCAGCATGCGTGAACAAGAGCCTGGAGCTAGTCTCAGCCTCCGATATCCTGGTCTGGGATGTGCATGTCCAGCAGCCAGCAGCTTTCAGCTGGAGGGCACAGCTATTCTCGCGACTGTCACCAGCACAGGGATGGTCTTCCTGGACACTTCCTGGGAGCTCAGGGGAGACTACTGTATGGCCGGGATCTAAAAATGTCAGCAAGCCACGATTGAAAATTCTTGGCCGCTGGCGCAGCAGCACAAATGTCCGCAGACCCTGCAGTGGCCCTGTCCACGTCGCACCTCATTTTGGGTTCATCACGCAGTGCTTTCTTTGCTTGCAGGACTTCTTATGCGATGCTGCCATGTACTGCGGCCATGCAACGCAGGAGGCTTCAACTCCGCATTCCAACTGCATCTGAAACCAACTCCTGCCAGAAAAGCAGCACATGCAAAGCCGAGCTCCATGCACTGGCCAACTCCTACTTATCCAGTGTGAGAGCGGCGCATGACGTACTGTCGAGGGTTGCACCAGGAAGGGGAGTGTAAGCCGATGGCACGTGGCATGTGACACCGAAGCATGCGTGAAGAGGGAAACCAGCACAAGAATGGCACGACCGCAGCACTGTGGCATGGGATGGAGGCCGCGACTCCGAGCAGGAAACCAGCAGCCGAAGCCAAAAGGCCCAAACTGCAGGTGCATTTGCTTGCAGCTTCAGGTCCTCTGTGAATTATGTAGGATGCTTGGCATGAGCCAGAATTCATCATGGAGCAGTGTGGAACCTGAGACGGGCATTTGAGAGATCCAGCAAGAGCGGTACGGCTGTTCAAGATGCCTGTGCAGGACAGCGGCCCCAGCTGATGCCCTCTGCAGCAAAGCCACCAGCTGCAGTGCAGAACAATCCAGGCTGCCCCCTTTGCTTTCGAAGGGTCGAATCCTTTTTTTGTCAAGACAATTCCGAATGCTCTTGGGGCGACAAGATGCTGCTCGACTCCTTGCTGAAGGCATGTCATCTGGCCTAATTCCCATCATTCCGATGGAGGCTACACTCCATGCAGATAAGTGTCATGTCTTTTGTAACACCTGGAGTCTTCACAGTGAGGTTGAAGCCGCTCTGGAGAACAGAGTCATGCGCCTTGGGATGTTGAGAATTAATGCAGGCTGCTCAATGCTCTGGCTAGTGCAAGATGTTGCAACCATTGTTGAGTGGCGCAGTTTCGGCTAGGGGCTCATCAGGCTAGTGCCCCCCGGCTCCCGGCTAATGGACCAAACAATCAGTTCGCTGCGGACCAAGCGGCACCAGCTGATCCTTGAAGTTTGCAAGTCAATTAGGTCAATTCATGGTGTCTGCTAGCCGGGGGAGAGGGGGGACCTGTTCGCCAGAACTCATGTTCCTGCTTCTTGCAACATGACATCCTGGCCAGGCCTGTGGTTTTGTCACAATTGCAGGCCGGTAGGCCTGTGTTAATGCGCTGAGGCCTCGGGCCGAAGGAGTATCAGAATCATCACTGCCGCCCGCTACCCCCCCCGCCCCCAAAGGGAGACCTTAAGAAGGCCGTCTTAGACTCAGAAAAAACCATGAAGCCCTGAACCTGGCGTTTCGCTCATTTTAAGGCTTTGGATGTGAGGGTCCATCTTAGAAGGTCAATCTCTCTGGGATCTGGAGGTCAGTGCTGTGCTCCTCAGCCCAGTGTGCCCCCGGCCGAGGCAGATGAAAGGGCCGCGCGTGCAGCCATTAATCGAAGGAAAGATGGCGCGAGGCTTTTTCTATGTGCGGATTCGAGATTCGGTAGCAGAGCAGATATACGCCCAGCTGGGAGAAGGAGAAGTGCGCTTCACCAAAGCCAACCTGGGGCTCCGGGCATAAAAAATCAGGGTGGGGCTGAGTGGCTAAATGCAAAAACGTAGTTCAAGCGTTTTTGTAGAATTGAAACTATCGTGGGGAAAGTTCAGGCTGGACCGTTTGGAGCACACTCCTATGTTGCTCTATAGCACATCCCGAACGCAGAGAGATGGCCTCCTTGTCCGGCCTCACACCGTGACAGGTCTGAGAATCCTTGCTGTTGATGAAGATCGCCTGTCATCACATAGTTTCGAGCTGCTACTTGCGAAGCGTGCCTCAATCTCGGAGTTCCGCACTTCGCAACGTACGGGGTGACACAAGCCAACGGCCGCACAGCAGGCAGTGATTTGCCACCCTGGAACATCGCATTTCCATGTGCATCTTCGTCTTTTGTTTCTTGAAGTATTTCTCACAATATTTCTCACATTTTCAACGGCGTCCTTCCCATGTGTGTGCGACTAGCATGTCAATCATCTAGCTACTGTAGATTGTTCTCCTTCCTCTGGAGTGCAGGTCACCACCTTCGGGGTCTGCTTGGGAACTCTCCGTGGGCCTCGGTCTGCCTCTCTTAGCACGTGGCATCATTTGATATTCCACTCCCTGGCAGTCCCAGAACTTTGAGACGCCTCGCCCGCTTTCGTGCATTGGTGCTGAATTTAGTCACGCTTGTCGTGCACTCCGTGCGCCTTCTTGCAATCCCAACTTTTGAGCCCTCTACAAGTAGCAGTGGTACGGGCGCGCCTTATCACCTGCAGTTGCATCTGCAAAAGTTATGGAGGTCAGAACCTGGCAGCCAGCTCTGAGCAAAGCAGACATGTCCATGTACATGCAATGCAACCAAGATGATTCGAATGCGCGCCGGAATAAACATGCAATCGGCCGTGCAAAGAATGCCCTACTTCACATCTTACTGAACTGCTAGTAACTCTCGACGAGGTCAAGATGAAGTCAGGCTTGCACAATGGTTTGCCAACCATCTGATTGCGGAGGTAAGGCATTCATCGTAGCCAATCTCGGCCAAATTGATGACACCGTTGTGGGTGATGTTGCCGCCGGCACTTGCTCCATGAGCACCTGCCAGGGCAAGCTCAGACATGTTCCGCATGATTCGAACACAGCGGACACGAATTGTAGACGGCCGAAGTTCTTCAACAGCTCGACGATGGTCCAAGCTTTGTACTTCACAATGCTTTTTGCGCTGCCTCTTGCACTATTTCTAAGTGAGTCCTCCCGTGCCTGCAGAACAAGGTCAGTTTGACGCACCCAGTGGCAGCTTTCGGGAGCTTGATAGCAAAGAATCTCGTTTCGAGCGTGCGATGCGACCTGCACAGTACACTGCATATGGCATCTAGGCGAGCTCATGAAGATGCTGATGCCTGTTGATTTTGTCAACAAAAAGGTTGAATGCTGCCATGTGTCAGGTCGGTACGTAACCTTACCGAGAGGACCGGGCACCAGCTCGTCGGCCACATCAATATCGAAGGCTTCCCGCAGGCCAGAGGAACCTCAGGCGCTAGAGCTGACATGGGTCGGATGCACCCAAGAGTCCGTCCACATATGCTGAGGTTTGCGCAGGGTGTGCAGCCTGTAATCTCTTGTGCGAAACACACTTTTCCACCAACTTGTACTTTTCCTTCGAAGACTTGCCACTTGCCCCAGAGGAAAATCGTATTCTCCGTGTTGCTTGTGATGGTCTTGGGGCTGAACCTTGGATGTGTTGCGACTCGGATTTAAGGATCTTGAGCCTGAACTGTCAACTCCATTTGCTGCCAAGCACGATGTGAGAACACTCTTGAAGGTGACTTTCTTTATGTAGAGCAGGATGTCTTCCTGCTCCTTGACGCTTGTCACATACCCGGAAACCTCAGAATTGCTGATGCGCAGCTCCCGCCACCGCCAAACAAGCAGAGCGAATGAACACAATGACTAGGACGATTCATCGTCACACTGATATTACTGATATTCCGAGAATTACCGGATTGTGTTGGTAAGTGTATTCTCGAGTGTACCTCTCGGCAACTCAGCTCCATTCATCTCCGTTCCATCTCAGGGGCTGCATCCGATGTGTCTGGCTTGTAGCAGAGCTTGAGGCCATCGAGAGCTTCGCCTGCCGTTTACACATATTGACACTCATGTACATACATATGTATAGTAAATAAATATATATATATATGTATATGTATGTATATATATATAGACACCCCCCGCCCCCAGAACCCACCCTCAAATAATTTAGTTTTCTCAGCCTGGGACAGGGTTAATTAACACAGGCCCAATGTTAATTAACACGGCCGGAACCAAGAACCAAGAACCAAGATTCCCAAAAAATCTTGCGGGGCTTGCTTCCCAGGTGTGTGGGGCCGTGTTAATTAACACGGGCCCCGTGTGAATTAACATGGCCGGAACCTAGAACCAAGAATCCCAAAAAAACCTTGCGGGAATTCTTGCTTCCCAAGGGGTGTGGGGCCGTGTCAATTAACACGGGCCCCGTGTTAATTCACACGGCCGGAACCAAGAACCAAGAACCAAGACTCCCAAAAAAGTCTTGCGGGGATTCTTGCTTCCCAGGGGTGTGGGGCCGTGTCAATTAACACGGGCCCCGTGTTAATTAACACGGCCGGAACCAAGAACCAAGAACCAAGACTCCCAAAAAAGTCTTGCGGGGATTCTTGCTTCCCAGGGTATAGGGCCGTGCTAATGAGTGCTAATTGCCTGGCTCCCCAAACCCACGGGCCCAGGTCCCGGGAACCAAGATATATAGCAAAGTAATACGTTCATATTTCGTATTTATAGCTATACACAATTTGGTGGGGGGGTCAAATCTAGACGGATACGACCACGCTGTTACTCTGATGTGTATATTTGGAAATTAACGGTTTTGAATAAAAGGGAATGTACCTGACAGTAAGTCCTACATAAGCATGAGACCAGAAAACTCTGATGTGTATATTTGGAAATTAACGGTTTTGAATAAAAGGGGTCTGCCAAGAGTAACCCTGGACCTCAAAATTTAAACCCGAAACCCTACCTCTAAACCCTAAACAATTTAGGCTTCAGGAACGAAGCTTTAGATAGGGCTGAAACATTAAGGGGACACCCCGCAGGCTCCGAAGCATGATTTTTCCTGAACAAAAATCATTGAAATAATGGGGTCTTAGTGTAAGGTTTGGACAAGGCTTCAGCCTGAATGTTCAACAAATAGGGTTCACAGGAGAGGAGTTAAGCCTAAACATGAAAGATACTCCCCGCAGGCACCGAAGCATGGTTACTCCTAAACAATGTACGTTCAAAGGGGAAAAGGGTCTGGGCTTCAGCGAATGCCTTCAGTAGCGAGGGAAACGTTTCAGGGCCTAAATCTTCAATGATTATTCGGGTTTACAGGAATCTTCGTAAACAATTTCCGTTGAGAGTATGGGAATAGGGTCTGGATTTGGTTAAATTTCTTTAGGGAATAGGGTCTGGGCTTTAGTGAAATGCCTCTAGTGACGCGGGGAAGATACGGTTTTGGACTAGGCTTCAGCCTACACCTTCAAGAGATAGGCTGCCTGACCACCAATATTCGTTGAAAGTATGGGAATAGGGTCTGGGCTTTATAGCTTAGGGACAAGGGTCTGTGCTTTAGCGAAATGCCTTCAGTGGCGAGGGAAACGTAAGGTTATGGACTAAGTTCAACCTAAACTTTCAATAAATTTTAGGGTTTGTATTACAGGAATAGGAAGCACGAATATTCCTAAATCATTTTCGTTGAAAGTATGGGAGAAGGGTCTGGGCTTCAGTAAAATGTCTTTTAGGGAATAGGGTCTGGGCATTTAGTGAAACGTCTTTAGTGACGAGGGCAAACAAAAGGTTTTGGACTAGGCGCCAGCCTAAACCTTGAAGAAGGAGGCTATGCTACTGAACAGTATTCGTTGAATACGTGGGAAGAGGGTCCGGGCTTTAGCTGATATTTAGTAGCCAGGGAAGATCTAAAGTTTTGGAACAGGCTGTCAGCCTAAACGGTCAACGAATAGGGTTAAGTGATATTTCTCTAGTGGCGAGGGAAAATGTAAGGCTTTGGAATAGGTTTAAGCCTAAACTTTCAACAAAGAGGCTTTTCATGAATAGGGCTAAACACTAAGGTTGCATCCAGCAGGCACCCGAGGCATTACTGTTCCTAAGCATTTCTCGCTTGCAAGTATTTGGGAATGGGGTCTGTATCTAAACCTTAAACGAATAAACACAGGGAAACTCTTTAATGTTTAGTGGAACTCTTGAAGGTTTCAGCTAACTTGGTGTTCAGATTATTTAGGATGCAAGCTTGGTGAATTTCTCCTGCGCGCGACCCGGCGGAGAGGTTCCAAAATCAACTTCCTCACACTGCCCTTACCCATTGGTTTAAAGGGGTGGCCCGCCAGATATGGCACTTATTATATCGCAGCCTTCGGGGAAACACCCCGCCCCCTTGCACTTTGCTTACGGTGGGTTCTGGGCGGGGGGGGGGGGGTAGCATACATATATATATATATATACATATATACAGGTGTCGGCATCCTGATCAAAGTGCAAAACGGCAAACGTTGCCTGAGTACCACATTGCTCGCTTGTTCTCACCCGGCAGTTCCTCCTCGAATGTACGTCGGCAACCATCGCATCCCTGTTCATGAACCCTATCCCTGCATACCAATCAAGGGAGGGGTCTTTGCACCAAGAAGCCTTTGGCTTGACGATGCCCTCACAGCTGGGAGCAAATTGAACTCGGTCACGCGGCCAGGCACCCTCAAACTTTATGGTGGCGTCCCTGTTCCTCACTTGGGTGGCTGGTGAAGCTCGCCATCACGACTCGCGTCAGCACATTGTCTTGTCTCTGAAGAGTTTTACTGTGTTTGTAGTGATTGTAGTGCCATTTACAGGTTCCAAAGACCCCACTGCAAGACAGGCTTCGCTCCGATGCATGTGGGGTCGATGCTCTTGACATGGGGATCAAAACGGATCTTGAGGCCACCGGACTGCTCCGCCCACTCCTCGCCGTCTCAGAGACCAGAAAAAGAAGTTATGCTTAGACAGGCATGCGTTGAGACTAGAGCTTAGAGAGCTTGGCATGCGTTGGCTATCTTGGACTCATTGCCGAATGGCTTCCTTCGCATCTGCAGAGTGTGTTTCTTCGGGTAGTTAGGTCCCGTAATATGGGACCTTCAAAGGGGACCCCTTATATCCCCCGCGTACACCCGGCGCAACCCAAGGGCCCAACCCAGCCCCTCAATGCCCCTGCTGTGTTCTACTCGCGAAGGCAAACCGCAGGGACCTGGACCTGGATGTGACAACTGCCCTTCAAAGCAGTCCAAGTGGCACAGCTAAAGTCTTCCTGGTAGCACAGCTTGTAGACGTTGCTGTCCTAAGCTTGTCGAAAACAGAGAAAGCCAAACAAGCAGCCACACGCTCTGCAGAGGGGAGCGAAAGCAAAGTAGAAAGAGAAAAGGTAGACCAGACCAGACCCCTCAGTGTTCGTAACAGGGCTTGACGCACAGAGGTGGGTACTTGTTCCGTGGATTCATATCGAAAAGTAAAGTCCACGATGCCTTGTTGCATGGCCTTTCGTCGAGTCTCAATGGGTTCCCCTCAACCCAAAAAAGAGCCTCAAAGAGACTGCAAATGGAAGAGCTGGCATAGCTGCATCTGGAAGGCATTTTGCGGGGCTACCAGGTGCAGCTTGTTAGCCTGCCGAGCTTCAGCTTTTGCACAGCTTTTGCTCGCGTAAGAATGAGAATTTCACACCGTGGATGGCGTCCACTCATTTTCGGTTACCTTGCTTTGGAGGATCTGCTGCCCGCCTCCTTGACGAAGCTCACTGTGCCAGGTATTTCCACTGCTGGATAATCTGTGCCATCCTCGTGTGGTGCGATACTCTGCTCCACCAGACATGGCCGAAGTCTGTGCACATCAAATGACTATTGGGCATATGCACTTGCTGAGCTTCTCAAGAAGAGTAGGAATGAAGTTCACTGGTATTCCATGAAGGGCAGATTTACCCTTGTGTGTCTCGCCCTGCGACTTCTTCTGTGCACACCTCGCCAACTCCGGCTGGTCCCTTGATCCTTCCCTTGCAGACCAGCTGCATAGAGTTGTGGGCATAGTTCGCAGCTTGGAGCAAAGCAAACCTCAGATCAATCGTATCCCTTGCCCTAGTGCCCGGAAGCAGATCTCAGGAGTGAAGCCACCACTATGCGCTATGCAGCCTGTGCACTCCTCGCTGTCAAGAAAAGCTTGCCATGCAGACCTCATGCTTACAAGTACATGCACGAGGATCTGCTAGAGTACGGGCTTAGTGCGACTACTATACAAGTAAGTAGAGTTCAGGGTGTGAATGATTGTGCGTGCACAGTGAATGGTCCGATGGGGCAACTAACTCAGCTTTAAATGGCCTGGCGACTCGGCCCTTTGTCTTCTCAGGACCGTCCAGCTGGAGCTCTGCTGCTTCAGACTTCTTAACCAGCGTCGGGCCTTCAGCTGCAAAAGATAACGATAGCACAGACAGCTTTCGGCACATAGCAGACGCTCAGCTGGCGGCTTATTGAAGAGATGTGACTTGCACCTGTTGGACCTTTGACATCCTTGGCGTCAATTTGGCCCAATTGCAGTCAGACAAAAACAGAAGGCTGCCATGTGCGGCCATGTGAAATCTTCGCTTGACACCAAGCTGTATCCAGAACCAGGCCAGCGACCGGAGGATTGATTTACATGCAATTTGAATGGTCTGTGAACGCCCTATCCCCAGAGTCCGTGTGAAGTTCATCCCTAGGCCCGCCAGCCTGATCTTGCCTCTACAAGAGCCACCCGTTTTAGAAAAGGTCAGGCGCAAGACAGTTCTGAAAACCATTGTGAACAAGAAAACGCGGCTATGTACATAAGCGCCAGGATCCAAGGTCAAGTGGTGCTCGCCATGAACTTCTTCGTGCCCGCGCTTGTAGCACAAAAGGAAGCCTTCTCCCTGGCAGGTAGGCAACGCAAAATCTTCTTGAACTCTGAGCCAACTTGACTATCCAAAATTGTGAAAACGTGTATTGAATATGTGCCTGTTCCTTGGGAGTGAATTCAGCTTTTGCTCCCTCTCGTCCTTCTTCCCTGCAGAAAAGTGCTGTGGCAACGGCAGGATCATAGGATGCGATCCTACATCGTTGTTGCGACAAGGTGCAGTGTTGTAAAATTGTCATCGGTCACCGCGTCGCAGTCCACCTCGAATCTAACCTGAAAACAGCTGCTCAAGGACTTCCGTTTGCGGGTCTTGCAATGCTGCGCGCCTTGTCGCCCGCATCTCCTCCAAAGAATGTAACTTCGGTGGCCTGGCTCTGTGTTGCACATCACATGTCGTCTGGTTGTCAACATGCCTTTCTGTCAGAATTCTTCTGAACTTCGAAACAGGTGCCTTGTTCACCGTGATGCACGACGGTGAGATGCCAGATATCCAAGGAGTGGTAGTCGTGGTGGTAGTGGTGGTTGTAGTGGTGGTAGTGGTGGATGTAGTTGTGGTGGTTGTAGTGGTTGTGCTTGTGGTCGTGCTGGTGCTTGTTGTTGTGGTTGTTGTTGTTGTGGTTGACGTGCTTGTGCTCGTTGTCGTGGTGGTTGACGTGGATGTGGTTGTTGTGGTGGTTGTTGTGCTCGTGGTTGTTGAGGTACTGGTGGTGGTGACTGTTGTGGTTGTGACCGTTGTTGTCGTTGTCGTCGTTGAGGTTTCCGTTGTGGTAGTTGTGGTGGTGGTCGTAGTTGTGGTCGTTGTCGTCGAGGTCGTCGTTGGCACGATCTGCAATGTGAGCACTGTCAGTCTCGCTTGACTGGCAATGCTGACTCAGGCTTGGGGCTAGCTAGTCAGCAAACCCATGACAAGAAGTAGCTGCAAGTACGGAGGCTGGCCACCCCATGTGATGTCCAAAACTAATCCGCAGGTGTCCACAGGCACACAGACACACATAGAGACACACGGAGACACGCAGAGACACGCAGAGACATGCAGAGACACGCAGAGACACACAGAGACACACAGCGACACACACACACACACAGACACACACACACACACACACTGAGTATTCGTGGTAGCCCACAATCCATTTCTTGTGACGAACATGGTATTGGGGAAGTCGAACCTTCGGTGGCCTTAGGAACCTGAACAGGTCACAAGCGAATATGACCCTGCGAGGAATGCGAAACGCTCACCTATGCACGAGAAAGATTACCAGCATGAAGCACCAGCTACCCGAATTGGATCCAGGTGCAACTCTGTAAATCTGCAGGTACATTTTCACCCCAATATCACCTGGTCTTCGTTGGCCAGGACAGATGATATTGGTTCCTGGCCCCCTGCTAATCGAGGATAAATCTGGTAGTACGAAAGCAAAACTGATCGACATCCACGGACCCTTAGCTTAGAATCAGGGCTTCCACACACACACCCTCCTAGGAGGGTCCATCTGCATGCTCCTGTAACTGACGTCCTGATAACATGTGACCTTTGCATGAAATGAGCTCAAGCGCTCAACGGCAATCAAGTCCCTTAGCTTAGAATCAGGGCTTCCACACACACTGTCCAAAGAGGGAAAGTCCTAGTTTTTCACATTTGATCGGCGAGTCCTCCGCCATAGGCCCGTCACCGCCATAGGCCCTCCTCCTTGGAAATCCTTAGTATCGTCGTCATAATCGTCGTCAGAGACCCCCAGCTGCCATGAAAGGCCCAGGAGCGTCCGGGAGAATTCAAGGGCATTTCCCATCATCGTCGTCGTCGTCGCAGCTGCCACAACGGGCCCAGGAGCATCTCAGACCCCCCCGCTGTCCACAGCGACCCAGAGCACCTCCACTAAGACCAAAGCCGAGCGGCGACCTCATTACACAATTCCTTAGTCAGTGTCGTCGCAGTCGTCGTCAGGGACCTCCAGCTGTCATGAAAGGCCCAGGAGCGTCCCGGGAAACCCCAGCTGCCACACTAGTGACCCAGGGCATCTCTCATTGTCGTCGTCGTGACCCCCAGCTGCCACAACCGGCCCAAGCGCATCCGCGAGGCCACAGCTGTCCACAGAGACCCAGTGCACCTCCACTTAATTTAAGCCGAGTAGCCTCCACACCCCAAAAAGCACATTTTTGGCAACCTGGCTACTGGTAGGCTGATGGGGGCCACCTCACCCCCGAGCCACGACTGACCTCTTACATTCCGAAGAAACGGGTCGCATCCGTTCCTGTTTGGCAATAAGGCCTTCTTGGCCATCACCTTAGCAGAGAATAAGGCCTGGAATGTGTTGCCCGGAGGCTGTAAGGCTCTCATTCCGCGGATGAGCCGGATCAGTTACATATTAGTCCAATCCAGGACCAGGCAGTCCCAAATAGGTTCCTGCCTAATGGCAACGGTCCCGGGCAAGGGCAGAGCCCTCCCAGAATCTGGCCGCACACTGAGTATTTGCGGTAACCCACCATCCATTTCTTGTGACGAACATGGTATTGGGGAAGTCGAACCTTCGGTGGACTTAGGAACCTGAACAGGTCACAAGCGAATATGACCCTGCGAGGAATGCGAAACGCTCACCTATGCACGAGAAAGATTACCAGCATGAAGCCTCATTTCCAAGGACAAGAAAAGTGCCCGACTTTCTTGTGAGTCCACCAGCTACCCGAATTGGATCCAGGTGCAACTCTGTAAATCTGCAGGTACTTTTTCACCCCAATATCACCTGGTCTTCGTTGGCCAGGACAGATGATATTGGTTCCTGGCCCCCGGCTAATCGAGGATAAATCTGGCAGTACGAAAGCAAAACTGCTCGACATCCACGGACCCTTAGCTTAGAATCAGGGCTTCCACACACACACACACACACCCCACACCCCACACCCCACACACCACACACCACACACCACACACCACACACCACACACCACACATCACACATCACACAAAACACATCACACGCCACACACCACACACCACACACCACACTTCACACTTCACTGTTGCTGCGCCCCTCGCTTCTGAGCCATGGATTGGCCTCGAGGCTATGTGAGGGTCCCAGATCTCCCACTTGAAACCTGCGTTCCTCTATGTTGCCCTCCCCCATCCTGAGGACACCACCAACGAGAAGAAAGAGAAGAGTAGAACTCTTTCAGAGAAACCAAAGAGATGAGAGACTCTCGAGATGCATGACGTAGAGCATGGCTGTGGCTCAGAGAGAAGATTAGAAACTAGCAGAACTTAGCAATCCTTGGCAGAACGTCACCGAGCAGAGAGACTCTGGCGGACATGCTGAGACATCATGAAGTTTGGATTGGTCTCGAGGCAGCAAAGCCATGTCCGATGGCAGAAGCGTTCTTCAATCGTGATATCGGCCGAATGACCAAACAAGTCTTTTGGGTGCCCCAGTGCTGTCAATATGTGCATGAGAGGCACAGCAAGCGGATCCACACGATGCCAAGACTATGCCTACGTGCCTCCGGCCAGCAGTCCGCGGAGTCTGTTTCAGGCTTGGCCAGGTCCAGCTGTGCACCCTCCCCATATTTGCATTGGCCCTCCGAGTAGGAACAGCAACCCCGGACGGGCTCCGCCACTTGGCTAGCCTGGCAATGCGCTTCGCAGTCCTCCTGATCGCACCATCTCAGGATACTTCGACATTGCGATCCGAAAGCTATAGTGACCTTAAGTTCTACCCAAAAACTGTATACTTGCTGTATAACTTTGTCCTTGGAGCTTGCGGTGGTGGACACTGCCAGATTAATGCGACTTCCAAATCCGCAGGCGAAGTTGGTCTTCCAGCTGCAACGCAGCGGCGATGCCTGGAGACACTGCCACGTACTGAAGCTCAGCTGAAACCCTAGCAAACGACTGGCAAATGATGGCAAATGCTTTCGAACTTCTGAGGAACCGCCCTGCTTACCAAGCAAAGAACAAAGAAGAACGAAGGCCGATGAAGGCCGGCAGAGGTCGCACCTGGAAATTGTACACGTCCTCATCGCGGTTCGATGCGTACCAGTCCAGCTCCTCTGTGTCGTGCATGCTGAACTCCGCACCAGTCTCGCGCTTGTGTAGCTTGTACACAAGCCACCCGCCCTCGGAAGCGTCAATCTTGTCAGCCCAGGTTTGGCCCCACTCCCTGAATCCAGGATTCTTGTCCTGACTGAAAGCCCGCATTATTTCGAAAGCTGCGCAGTCTGCATCCGTTTTGCATGCTTCCTTCGCTGCTTGGAGAATCTCCGGATACGAGCCTGCCGAGTGCCATTCCGAGAGCCGCAGCATACCCAACAATACATGACAAGTATGATACTCGTGATCCCAAACCCAACAAATCCCACGGTGTTGGCAACCTCTGCGACTCCACTGCGAAGTAAGTTCGCTGAAAAAGGTTAGATGGCACAGTCTGGCCTTCGCTGGCAAATCGCGGTATCTCTGCGTAGGCGGTCGTTCCAATGCCGGTGGCATATGCAAACTTCCTGAAGCCATCTGGTGCGACCTGCGGGCTGAATTTGAAGCTATACCGCTCAGAATATAGCAACAACCTGTAACACCTGACGTATCGAATCTTCACAGAATTCTTTGTCGGAGGGAACCTTTGTTTGCAGGGGAGAGCGATTCGAAAATTGCTTCGCAACATCCTGTTTGTAAGGCAACTAGAACTTTGCTGATGGGGCAGCCAATGTGGCGGAAGTGTCCGCCTTGCCGTCTTCACTTTGGGAAAAAGATGGAAAAAACAAATTCGCCCTCGCACCACACCAACCATCACCACCCCTCGCCTGAGGGAGCTGCCAACCATGCCGTGTAGGAGCCAGCTTGTGGGTGCGTCCCACATCGGTTTCTTAGCAGCTCCCACCACCCTGCCCTGCCCTGCATTCCGAGGTCATCCCAGGTCCCAACCTGGCAGACCCTGTGCGAGTATCTGCGATTATAATCATACATTGACACACACGCACAGACACACCCGAAGCGCACTGCAAACTTACGTGCAAAACGGATGCCGACAATGGGCTGCATAAACGTAGCGTGCCGTGCGACACCTGCCGTCCTTTCGTCGATTTCATTGCCTCGCATGCCTGGAATGTCTTGCTACTGGTAGTTTCTCCTGGCCATTCTTGCTTCCCAGCTTAAAATGAGCAAGAAAAACAAAGGACCCCTAATTAGCCAAATACTCCGGGCTCAGGCTCTGAGGCATGTGAGGCTTCACACAGCAAGCTCTTTACTCCCTCTATGCAGAGCAGCTGATAAAACCCGTGTTCGTTGAACGTGCCGCAACATGCTTGGCGAGCCCCTGTCGATTTTCGAGGATTAGCAGATTAGCACCCCTTCGGATACACACCTGACCACTTTAGAGTGGGCCCATTTTTCTTGCAACATCAAGACAAGATGGGATCTCCGTAAGTTTTTGCTCGATACACGTGTGATGTAAAAGAGGCTGCTACTGAGAGAAACCAGGTTTTGAGGCCTACGACGAAATGATGAAAAGTGTCACGCGGCGATGACCAAATCTGGGTTTTTGAGCATACTGCGTGATCCGATTGGGGCCTGGGGCACGCAAGTTCAACAAGGAGGGGATCCGATTCCGTCGTGCGTGTGGCCTTGCAGCACAGGGATCTGGCAACAGTCATGCGAACGCCGACAACAAGTGCACCGAAGGATTGCACCGCCTGCTGACACTGCAAGCCTTTTCTGCTGCAAGATGATCTGGGGGCCGCAGACTGGAAAGCCCAAAACACTTTCTACGCGTTTTCAATGTGTGGTTTTGCAGATGTTGTGCACGTCGAATTTGCCTTCTGCTTCTTTGATAAATAGTGCTGAATTGGGGTTGCTCATGGTTTCAAGTTGTGCATTTTGTGCGGATCACACCTGATGAATTGTGTTTGGAACTGTTTGCCTTGCCTCACATACAGGAATTGGTGTTTGTTTGCGTTGTTCTTTGTTGTCTTTTTGGTTTGCATGTACAACGATTGTTTTGTTTTGGCCGTGTTTGGGCTGTTTGTTGTTACCTGCAAGCAGCCGTTTTATTGTTGTTAACGATTACTTCGGTTGTTCCAACGTTGCTCGCATGATTGCCTGTGCTTCGTGTGAGTTTGGCATCCTGTTAAGTTTGTTGCTGCTCTCGGTGTAACGGCGATGACTGAGTTCCTGGGCCACAACATCCCAGGCCAACCCGCCAAAAACATGCAAAACACATGCCATACCAGGCTGCAAAACAAACGCTTCGACTAAGCAAACAATATGCAAACCACAGCACAGTGTGGTCTGCGCATTTTTCGCATGTGCTCTGCGCCGCTGCCCTGGACCAGGGCTAGGAAGTCCGCACAGCTCACTTGCTCTGCGGGTTCAAGGTTTCGGGTTTTCGGATCGGCTGCTCTGAGACGTCTCTTCCTCGGCCTGCAGTCGCTTGTGCGGACTGGAAACTCCGAAACTCCGAGGTGCTTGGACCGTCGGTGTGCACTCTCGGAGTTTCGCAACTTGGGTCGGCCAAGCCACGTGCAAGCTCCGACAGTTATGTGAATATAAAGATTTTGAATCGGCGGGAGGATTGCACGAGAGAGAGAGGGAGCGAGTGTGTGTGTGTGTGTGTTTCGATCCCTCCTCGAGGCTACTCTGACCCTCGCGGTACTGTCAGCCCTTTTCATGAGTCGTCGGCCTGGCACTTCTGACGCAGGAGAAGACGGTGGTAACTTTCTCCAGCGCAGGCTTCTTTGACTCTGTACTTGTCGGCATCCGCTTCCCAAAACTGGCCGCTGTTCAGCAACTCGCCAGCCTCACTATGCTTCGTTCCGTAGCACCCGCTTTCAAGGCACACGCGGTAGACACCCCACTTGTGTGCTCCGATGACATGTTCCACGATGCTCACTTCATCTGGAGCAATGCTGTAGTTTTCAGGCATCTGCTGGTACGAGGTCTCTTCGCAGCTGGCTGGATCTTCTCCTTCCACCTTCGCACCGTAGAGCGTTCGGTAGATGTGGCCTTTCCATGCTACTTGGTCAACATCGTCAATGCAAGCGGGTAGAGCCTGGCCAGGTTGTGGCCACTGGACAGGCAGACATCAAAAGAAAGCACAATCATGCATCAATGCATGCGCAGGAGCACATGGATATTGCTGGCCTCCTGGAGGCTTGCAAGGCTTGCTCTTCTCAGCAGGTGACTCGCTTGTGTCGAGTAGACAGCGCCTGCAATGTTCAGAGGCGCACATTGTACAGGCGAAGAAAGTGCCCCCCCCAGAATCCGAGTCTAAACAACTCCCAGAATGGAGCCCAGAGAGCATTGACCAAGGCTTTTCAGGAAAGGTGTGAAGATCGGCTAATCATGTATCAGGGAAGCAATGCAAAGAAAGGGTAGAGGTAGGATTGACAACAAACAACTTTGAAGCCTTCTTCATGAAGCAGAGACATCCATGAGAAAGCAGAGACATCCATGAGATTCTGAGACCCATCTGAGATCCAAAGCGTGGCAGCGTAATTAGCACGACAGGTGCAGTGCGGTGTTTTGAAACCTGCCAACTTACGAAGTCAAGAAAGAATGTCGTGCAGTGGCTGCGCCTATCGTCGCTAGAAGCGTCAGAGAAGTCATCGTCAGTCAACGAACCTGAGGTTCTTTGCTGGTGGCAGCCCGGTAACCAAGCACAGCCACGTGCGGAGGTAGCGTTGTCTTCCGGGTGCGAGGAAACAGTACCATCCAGTGAACAAATCCAGCTGTTCCAGTTCGACTGTGTCAAAGTTTGATTAAGGCAGTTGGACGTTACATTGCTGCTTGGTGTCGTGAGGGTTGCCGTATGTTGCATGGCTCATTACGCCTTGACTGCTCCTCATGATTCCCCAAGGCGAAGATCTTGGGAACACCTGTGGCTTTCAAACAATCTCAAGCCCGCACGTGCAAACATCAAGGGCAAAGCCCGATGCTCCTCTCAAGCCCATCCTGAACTCGTGCATGTCATGCACAGATAGGGCTGATGTTTTGACATTTTGACAACTTCGAATTACGCAACATGTCGTGCAAGCGCGCAATAAGTATGGGGGCCTGCTCTCTTGGTCCGAGTGGCCATGGGTCTGCACAGGACACTCCACTAGGATCCGAAAATCGCCCGAGAGTACCCCTGACCCTTGCTTGAGCCACAAGATGATTGAAGCATTGGCTAGCAAGTGCAGTGCCGCTGCAAAACAATGCTTCCATCAGCCAAGATCTGAGGAATCTAGGACTTCAGCATACTTCAGCAGTGTGAAATGCTGGCATCCAGCCTCACGAGGTCCGATGAGCCCAGCGTCCTCAGCGAGCACTTCCAGCTCAAGGCTTGCAGTAGCTTGCGGGCACTTCGTAACACTTCATGCTGCTGGCTAAAAAGCAGTCTCCTCGCGCCTTCAAAGCATGGCGCTGGCGGCCTATACACACTCCGACATCGGCCACAAAATAGAGAACCTGTCCATGCCGTCCAAAAGCACTTTGCACGCTTGCTGCGGAACTGCCCGCAGTGCCCTCATCCACATGGGCACGTCCTTCATGTTCAGAAAGAGCCTCAGCTCCGACATCGCTGCCCACTTTACTATGCCTAACATGGAGATATTTTGAAGGATACGTTTCCGTTTCCGTGCTGAGGGAATGGCAGTCCTCCAGCCAAGGCAGCAATGTTCGATGCGGGCATAGAAACCTGCATGCAACTTATCCTCCAAACGTAGAACAAGAGAATTCCACCCAGAGCAGAATCCAACCGGAAACAAGAGCCTGGTATAGCAGTTCTATCAGCTTCTGGCCTTCAGTCTAGGCAGCGCAGATGTTGGCCGATGCATGCATCAAAGAAAGTTGCAGCCTCGCCTGGGTACAGCACTCGCAGATTGTAGAACATCGATCCCAGCTCCTCTCAAAGAGCGTTGGCGATGCAGCGTGAAGGCAAGACTAGGAAGAGAATGGACGAAGGACGACGAAGCGTCGGCTTTTAGGAGATTTTGGTGTGAAAAGAACCTCCCACACCCTAGCCATCAGTCCAGAACGAAAGTGCCGGCAATGAAGAGTCCAAACCCCTCACAGGGCTGCTGGCGGTCTTCGCATATTCTCCACCAACAAATGAAAAGTCTTGAGACGTGAGCTCCCAGTCATCCAGCTTTGGGCTTGGGGCACTGGATGAGCGATTTGCTGTAGAGGCTCAGACCGGTTCAGTGTTCAAGGTATCTTGCTAGTCAACGTGCCCTTAAGGCTCATGGCTTTGGTTTCCAAGTCCGACACTCGCCTTCGGTGCGAGTAGAGAAAGGAGGCAGGCCACGGTCACCACATAGTGGTGCACCTGGCGATTATGCACTGTGGTCGGGGGTGCTGGTGATGCTAATGTGACGCTGCAAGCACCTTCATGAGGAAGCTGGCTTCTGCAGGCATAGGGCACCTGCAACTGTCATTCTGGAGCAACCAAAGGGCAAGAAACGCACCACTGCGCAACTATCGCGTTTTCACATTTCTTTTGTTCGTGGCATTCGTGTGCCTAAGTAGCACTTTGAACAAGGGATGGAACAGCAGTCGCAGGACTCTCATGGGCTTGCACGGCTTCAACCCTATCGTTGCTTGCACCGTTCCTGGCGTCACTGTGTAGCCTTTCTTCACATTGCTTTGTTGACATCCGTGTGTTTTGCTTTCTCCAAGAGGACCTGGGAAGAGTCAAGTCCACAAGGCAGGTCGGATCAGTGAGCAGCCCGTGCGTGATGGAAAGCCGGAGCTCACCAGTCATACTCCTGCGACCTCAGCAAGGCCTGAAAGCACCCAACTTCAAAAGGGGGGGTTGTAATCACGGACTTCCGGGATGCAGGATCATTTGACACCACAACATCTGCAACACACTTCTTAGTCTGGCACATGTCTCGGCTTTGCGATCCAAATAATGCAAAAACGTACCTGCGCAAAGCACACGAAGGACATGGAAAGGCATAGTACGCTCTCAACCTCTCACATGAACAAAATCAGGCTTCTTTTTCATCCACATGCTCTTTCTGGGCTGAGCACCAGCGCGATGCATTCGGCAGCTCATGTGCGGCAGATGCAAGCCAGCGACCTTGAGACATGGCCCGCTGAACACAACTTCAGAAGGCCAGCACTGGTTTGCAAAGTTAAGGGCCCTGCCCATGTCCCAGCCAGATGCTTTGGCGGCCCATATAGACAGCCACACGCAGACGGGAAAGACTAAGGCCTCGACACTTAAAGCGTGCAGACATAACGATTCTTTCGGTAAGGTTTGCTGCCCTGGCAGCTCCGTCCGATGCGTGATGGTCGTCCAAACTTGTCACGAACTGTTTTGGGGTGTTAGGGCCGGTATCAAAAACTGTCAGCACATCAATGTATCAAATCAGACTATATCTATATGTATAGGTTATTTATGTAAGTGTATATATATACACATGAAAACATGTATACGCATATGTATTCTTCGTTTATGTATTTGTATGTGTATATGTATACACATATTATTTACGATTTGCCATGCTGAGCTAAGGCCAAACATGCAAGGTTTCTTGTTGAAATGGATCTTTGGGGCGGACACGTGTAGTCTCAGTCTGAGGCCTCGGAGGCACCTATACATTCAAGTCCGCAATGGTCCAAAGTGTGTTTGCTATTGTTTGCTTTCCCAACTCTCCCCTCCGAGCGCTTGTCGAAGGATGTGATGGAACGCATGCAGTGAAACAGTTGTGAGACAGGAAGAAGCATCAAACCACCCGGTGGTCATCTCGGATGTTGGATGCCATCTGCCCGCATATGGCCGCCAAAATTAGCAGCTTGGCTCTTAAACCCGGAGAGCGATAGCCGGGTCATGCCAGTCCAATCATGTCCCAAGGTTCCAGAGTCTCCAGTTGATCATATCCGATGTAGCTCTTGCTACGTGAGCTCGTCGATTGATGAGCATGAACATCTAATGCCACAGCATGCTACAGCTGCTTCGACATGCCACGATCTTGCCCAAGAAATACGCAGACCCTGCTACAGCTACCAAACTTGCCACCATGGCTTCTCTTGAGCCGACTTGCGGGATAACCTGTCTTTCGACAACTTTCCATGAGCTGCGACATGTGAACTGGACTGAGAGAGCCTGGATTGCAACAGAAAGCAGCCAGCGCGAGCGTGGAAAGCCCTCCAGTTCCTCATCAGGGTCTTCTGCAGTCTTCTACAGTCTACATACATGGATGATACACCAGATGGAATCAATAACGGCGACGTCGTCGAAAGTTGATGCAACCCGACAGGCAAAGACCACGCACGTCAACGCTGACACTGCTTCGCTGCAGCTCCTCCTCCACGTTGCTGACGCACGATTCCAGTATCCTTGTGCCGACTCACATGTGTTGTGAGACTCACGTGAAAGCTCGAACCGGGCTCCAAACCTGTTCAAGGCAAGCCCAACAACCTTGGACACGCAGGGCGGATGAATGTGGATGCGTTTTGGCATGACAATGTCATTCAATGCCGTTTGCAGTGCTCTGCGGGCTTGACACGGACCATCAACGACCATCACATCGCAATATTCTCAATCCATCGCACAAATGAAGGCTGCGGCAGTTGCAGAGGCCAGGCCGATGGTGGCGCTGCCAAGGAACGCTTTCCAACTGCTGGCCTTACTTGACTCGCTGAGGGACCCCCAGGGATCTGTAGACCTTCTTCGGGATCCCTAGAAACAACTCTTGGGAACCTGGTCCTTCAGGGACGACGGTAGTTTTACAGGCGAAACTGTGTGCTGGGACGAGACAAAAAATGTGTCAGCGCAGACAAGGCTAACAAATGGCAGCCGAAGCTTGGGCAAAGCCTTCTTTCACATCGAGTTCTGAATTGCCATCGCCAAACAAAAAGTACAACTGCTTAAGGAGATCTCCTTGAGCCTGGCTTGGCATTAAGGATGTAGTCCTGAGCACTCTGCGACCGGTCTCGCACCTAGACCCCCGACCCCGAGCCCAGTTGGCACACTGCATGCAAACCCTAACAGCATCCCCTGAAAAGTCCATGAAAGGTCCTCTACAGCGTGACAAGTTCTGTCGGTTTATGACAACCTGAAAGCTACGTGTTGCTCAAGCAAGACGGTGCCACTCGAAGTGCTTGTCGAAGGTAAAGGCGGCAAGAGGGTCTTTTTCCCACACGGTCAAAGGACAAATCTTGATGTCCCCGGGGTTCCCGACGACTGAAAACTCCAAAATCCATGAGGCTTTGCGTTTATGAGAACTGCAAGCACAGAGCGCTTTGGACGAACTCTCCTTCGATGTTTGGTACCTTGGCGCGTTCTGTATTTTCTGTTTTTGGGTTCTGGGAGAGATGTGACATGCAGTAAAGGATTCATGGACAACCCCGAAACGAAAATTATATGGTTTTCTCGTTAATGCAACGTGCAACTTCTATCATCACAAAGAAGATTCACACCAGGGGAGTGGATCGTAGGGGACACTGTATGTATGTTTTGTTTACTGCAAATGTATAAGAATATATACATACAGATGAAAAACAAATAAATAAAATATGTATATATACATGTGCTGCCCAAACTTGCGTTTGCACGAACGAGAGCATCAAGTAGGTAGTGTGAATACGAGTCAAGGCTTAGAAGTGCCCTCTTACCACTCGTGTTTCGAAAGTTTTCACCGAAACGATTTCAGCATCGGGGATACTGTGAGCAGATAACATTACTTTATCCAAGGCCTTGCCATACATCCCAGTATCTCCAGTACTGCACTCCCGCAAGGATACAAAATTTCAACAACCGAATCCGGTCCAGGAAATGTCTGGACATGGCCCCAGTGGTATCTCAGCCACTTACATGCCCCAAAACCCCGATTTACCACATCTTAAAGACTTACTCTTCGGAGGTTGGATCAAGTCTTCTTTTGTTTATTCTAGATCGAGTAGATCTAGTTTCCAATGATGCCGAGACTACGGTTCTGCAGCATGTGCGCTCACAGGCACTTCTTCGAGATTCCAGTAGCGGTGTATGATCAAGACTCAGTACAGTAGTGGTAGTTGAGTAGAATTTTAACTCTTGACCGCCATTCCCTGCCAAGCTGAGCATGTAAATAATGTTGGCTTGGTTTTACCGGAGGTCTAGTGAGTCTAGTCAACGCAGCAAGTGAAAGTTTGTTAAACGGTCGGCAGTATAGACTCTTACTAAACCGATGTGCTGGAGCTCAAGGCAGAAAACCAATTTGCATCACTACCCATAGTTAAGTTCTATGACTGGAAACTGGCAGTTCAATTTCTGCACCTCATGTAACATCTATACGTGACCTCCGATTATGTTAATCAAAAAGCAAAAGTATTTACAGTCAACATTGGGTGAAGAAACTGAATACAATTATCCGGAGTATGACTGAGTTGAGGCCATGATAAGTAAACAATAGAATTCGACACTGAACCCAACCCTCATCCGTGATATCCTATTCGAGAATTGAAAGACAACATCTGCGCTCCAATTTGATTTATTGCGACTTGTGGACATTCATGTATCTAAGAGCATGATTCCATAACTTCTATTGCGGAATTCAAGGGCTTCATTGCAGTATCGGTTGAAACTCAGGGCCACTTGTTACTGAACCGTAGCTCAATTAGTGGAATTACTCGCCCTTGAAGCTGATTTTCGAAGAACAGAATATGATTCGTATTCTACCCCAACTAACAACATCAGGAAATTTCTTGTAATGTATTTATTTGACTAAAGGGCAAACTACTCAAGCTCATGATTCTATAAGTTCTACCAGTATTGCAAGTTTAAGTTAAAGGACTGTTGACATCATAACCCACTCGGGGAATATGTAATTCGCCCCTGATGACAATAATTCTGCTGAAACTGATGTAGAACCGTCAGGGAGAGCGGTAATGTTGAAAATTAATGAAGGACAGCCACTGGGACAACCACCGCACCAAACTAGCTTCCGTGTTCAAAGTGAAATCGCTTTCTCATTGCAAAAAGGAAGGCAACTTATGGGACTGTACTCTTGCCAACGGTATATGATCGCCCCGAAGAAACATGTAAATAACTGAATAGGTTTGACTAACATACTTGGAGGTCAGGTATACTTCATAGCACATGTAGAAAAACAGATGCGACCACAAAAAAAGGCAGTGGTGCACATATGTATATATATATATGTACACAAATGTATAGTTATTATCTTATGCGATGTCTCATGATGTCTCTAGCAGCCAGTAGAGAAAAGAGAAACGAGCTCTTTGCAGTTTACTAGTTGGTTGCATTCGGTAAATCCTCCAAGTGCCGGGCCCCGCAGCTCATTTTTGTGCGGCGAGCTTCGCAATGGATGGATGATGCAACAACAAAGCTTGTGCTGCTTACGCTGTGAATCAATCGTTTTGATTGGGATCGCCATCAACACGTCAACATCTGTGACACATGTGCCTGCAAAATCCTGCAAGAGCAACTTGAAAGACAAATGTCTGCGTCAGGGTGCATCCTTGTCCGCTCAGCACGTTCCTACCAGCATGCCATCCAGTTGTTCCGACAACATTGAGCCCTGCATATCAAAATGGTTCCAGGTCCTACGCAAATCGTGCAAAGCCATGTATCCATCATCTGTGGAGCCGACTTCAAACAGGTCAGTGCCAGCCAGGAGCTGATCAAGATCGAAGTCCTTGCTATGCAAGAGCTGGTGGGGGCAGTGGATGTCGGATGGATCAGGAACACTCAAAGTCGCAATGATGCAATGTATCAATGTGCAGTACTCTTCCGGCCTATACTTGCTAGTGCACCCTGTAGTGCAAAGTCTGTCAAGTTGTGATCAGCCCGATGCTTCTGAAGCTACACGTATTCAATAATCCCAACTATGGTAGGGCCCTGCCTTAGCATCGTCGCCGCTGCAAGCGTTTGTGGATATCTGCGGAGACTGCTTCTCCTTCTGACGCTCCTTGTCCTTGCTAGCCTTCTTGTCCTTCTTGCTCTTCTTTCCGTGCTTTTCTTTCTCATCCGACTTGCTACCATGCTTCCTCTTTTCGCCCTTCTTCTTCGTCGCGACGTCTTCCGCGGCGATCGCCTGCTTTGGCTCCGCTGCCACTTGCTGCGGTCTGATTTCCCTCACATCGAGCGTGGGGTGTTCGGAGGCGCAGCCTGGCCAGCCGTCAGAGGCATGGAGGCAATTGGCTGGAACCAACTATGCTGGTGCTGAAGCCGTGGCCCGGGTCGCGTCCGGCAGCCTCCGCCTGCAGTCTGGGCTTCCTAGAACGTGGTCATGCTTTTTAAGTTTCAAGATTCAACCATCGTCAAGCACTGCTCGCTTGTCTTACATAAGGCAGATCATTTGATCGCCGTGCTGCAAGCCAAGGACACATAGACAACCTTGCCTCCTGCGCTGGTGATGCCAAGGATGCATCTTGGCCTCCACTTCTGATTCGCCGAATGCTAGCATTCATGCGGAACCAAACACGGCACGCAGTAGAGCCAACGCGGTACAGCTGATGCCCTAGACACAAGCCACCGAGGTTAACTTGAGCATCATCCGCAGGCGGAAGGGCTTCTAATCCGACAGCATCACTGGGACCGGCTTGGGGGGGGGGGGGGGGGCTTGGGCGAAGCTTCGGAAGCCGGTAAACAAGCCCCGCAATCAGGTCAGGCTCCAGCGAGCGGCGTTAGCGCATCCGCAATAGCGCGCGCGTATGCACGCACCAAGGGACCTGGATCTTCCTGATTTTTGTTGTTCTAGTCTTTTGTTGTTCGTGGTGGTATTGGTATTGTTGGTCTTGCTGTTGGCGGCGCTGCTGTCGCCGCTGCTGCTGCTGCCGCCGCCGCTGCTGCCGCTGCTGCAGCTGCCGCTGCTGCCTCTGCCGCTGCCTCTGCCGCTGCCTCTGCCGCTGCCTCTGCCGCTGCCTCTGCTGCCGTGCCTCTTAATCTTCTTCTTCTCAGTGATGTTGATGTTCTTGTTGTTGCTATTGTTGTTGTTCTTGGCGTTCTTCTTGTTATCCTTGGACCTTGTTAGCTTCTTCTCCCCACCCATGGAGAAAAACAAGCCTTGGTCCTCGTCGGTTCGAGGTGTGCCGAGTCTTGCCCAGACGATCGGTTGCTGTGGTTGTTTTGGGTGAACCTCGCGCTCCTAAATCGATCTGCATTTCGTTTCGCGATGATCGAAATTAGCACTCTTGCACCACGGTCCCGTGCGCATGCTCCCTGTGAAGTGCAGAATTGTCGTCGTTCTTGCACCGCGGATCATACTCCGACGTGCCACCAGAGATGGTCAGAGTCTATGCTGGCATATAATTTGAGATACGCAATCCCACCCTGACTCGTGGGATGTATCGAGAATTTGGGAATGCAGTGCGAATGCAGCTGAGCAACCAAGAACTGGTCGCCGGGGCATGAGCTCGGCCGCTGGCCCACTGCTGGCATGCTAGGCCGGTGGTGCTCCATCCATCTTCCTACTTCGGAAAAAGTCACGAAGGATGCTTTATCTCGGCTTGCGATATGGTCATGAATTAGAACCTGGGTGCTCTTCGGCTTTCCCATATGCCTACGCAACATGAAGAGGGCTGAACAACTCCGTAAGAGGACTATGCTGAGTAATCGACTCACTAAGTGATGCATTGCATGGAGCACATGCAGTCAGTTGTATTGGAAGGTTTCATGCCAGGCAACGAGAGCCCAGTACCCCATTTGAATTGTAAACGCAAGTCGAAGCATGTCGGAACACAAGAGACCGCTGTGTCACAACCTGGATCTGGATGGCTGGCTCACACCGTTGGACTCGCAAGTTCCGAACCCAAGATGTAAAGGGCACTCACGACGAGACCTGACGCTCCGCATTTGACACGATACTAGACAAGACTCACCCAGACTCATACTCAGAATACATCACAAGGTATGACACGACACAACGACCCGACGACCAACTAGGACAAACACGAAGAACTCTCAAGAGAGACACAAAGATGTCACAGGCAACTGGGGTCTGCAGCGCCCGTAATCGCTGTGACTGGCACTGCTGGTGCGAGGGTTAAGAGGCTGACAATTTCAAAACGACGACAGTCACTATCGAACCCCCAACACAAGAACATTCCTTTTCAGATGATACAGAACGAAGCGATGATCCAAAAACAACAACAGAGCCTTTTCTGCAGGAGACAAGCCGATTGCATGCCATATGTGCTTTACTCTGCGATGGGCTTGCCGACGTTGGGGGTCACGATGTTTAATGCTAGGTTCATGTTTGGAGCACTGTTTGCAAGGAGCTCTGGTCGCCGACTGGAAACCCATCCAGGGCGAAGAGCCCTCCACAGATTGGGGCCCATGATTGCCCATGACCAGAGGGACCCCTCCTGCCGTGCCGAGGCAGTCGACGCAAAGGCTCAAAGGGTTTACCATTCATGCTGCGAGTACGACTTTCATGTCCCAACATCTGGCCGAATCTGGCCTTTGCACAGGAAAAAAAGAAGCCGACGTCTGGGGGACCCACATTTAGCTTGCTCGTGGTGTCTTTTGCAAGCCTCTGCCGAACACCTACACCATCCTACGTCGGATATAACCGGTAGACATCGGTGGCGTCTGTCCCAAACCTACCTAATGTGAATGGGGCCCAGAATTGGTTTAGGTCTTTGTTTTTGGCTTCTGCGTTTGGCATCGGAAAACTGAGGTTTTGCTTGCCTCACTTGCCTCGTTCCAGCTCACAAACCCAAACCTGATGCTCTCGCAGAAACCGGACGCTCTCGCCTAGGTCCCGGACGCATTCCATTGTCACAATCGCGCTCTGAGGTCACACACGCATTCTGTACTGGAACGCGTGGTCCGCCTTGGTACCGCACGCATTCCGTGGTCAAAATGCTGTGGCGTGGGTCCCGCATATTCTGTGGTCCAAACCGCGCGCGTTGTGCTTAAACCAAGCTCCCGCGCGCATTCCGTGATCGACATCGGGCTCTATTCCCTCTATGTTAAGGAAATCATGCATCCCTCAATTTGAATAGGGTATGATCTTCCTCATACTTCGATTGAAAGCCTGAATTTCCTCTATCCTTTCATCGGAAGTTCCTATTTCCTCCATGTTTGAATAGAAACACCTTGGTTCTTACCCTAAGCCCTATTAAACTAAACTCTACACACATGTCTCGTAGGTGCTTTTTGTTGTTTTGTTTCTCGGTCTCCTTGAAGGCACACCTCAAGTCATCTACAGTTGCTGATTTCTTCGGCACAAGACACAGGACCAGTGTAGAGCAATCAGTACGGCTTAATATGGAAAAGGACGACACTTGTTGCAACAATCTGAAGTTCCGTATAAAGATCGAACAGTATGTATGGAATACCGGCTCTCGAAACCGTACCTGTTCCGATAACTAACGAACGCCTTATTTCGCATATGGACACACAAGACATGGCACATTTTTGTTTCGCGCTCTTCAACTTCAACTTCCAGAAGCATTCAACGAAATTGTTCTTAAGGTTGCATAAGAAGTTGTTAGTCTACGTTAACAGAGCGCGGGGGGCAACTTAAGGCAGCGCCCAAGCCGAAAGCATTGGGCCAACTCTATGCATGATCATGCCCCGCAATACTTCATACGATGCCCTCGTCACCGGGTCGGCCCGAGCGACCTTTGATGGAGAAATACGTAACTACTTTCCTAAGAAGAGTTGCTGATGTACCCGTGTGTTTCTGCTATGCTTCGACGCAGACCCTATGCAGGCCTCAGACGGCAAAGCTCAGTCGTTGTTGGTTCTGCCCGACATCCCGACTCGAAACGAGTGTCGAAACGAGTGGCGAATGGCATCATGGAGTCGCTTACTCAATGCCTTGGGAAACACAAAAGTACCACTACAGTGTCAGCTTGCTTATCTGCTCTAGAGTCTAAAGTCCACCGCAGCCACGCCGCCACATGTTTCTGGAATTCAAGGCAGGTGCCAGGCGAATGCAGTGCATGTTCTGCATTGTTCTGCATTCTGCAGGGCGTGGTATGGTGAGACTGTGAGACGGTGATGGTGACACTACGACATTGGCGTTAACACATCTCTGTGTTTAGATCTGAATTAGACTTGCAGGACTTGATGATTCGTGGTTATGGCCGACGAAGCGCGGATGACTGCAAATAACGTTGACTGAGGCTACGCGACACCTTTAGCCAGTTGAGGTCGTGTGGCTGTCCATTCCTCGAAGGCAAGCAACGTTAAAAACCTGCACAGCCACACGAAGCCGCACTCTCCAAACCTTTTGCCTCTCGGGCACCCGCTGGACTCATCCAAAGCTGTCCCCAGTACCGCTTCTGCCACTTGTGCAGCATCGGGCCTCAACGACACTTGCTGCAATAGTGCGTGGCAGCTACAACTTCTAACCTTGAAGCCCCCATGCAGGTTAGGTTGTATGTTTGCTTCAGCAACCTGCAATAGCATCACTGCCAGAGTATCATCGGATGTTAACCTCAAAACACTCAGATAGCTCTGGAGACAGACGGGTCGACTACTGTAGTTCTGTTGAACCAACTGCCCTATCATGACACCTCCCATCCAAGCATCCAAGCTCCCTCATCGCCTCCTCGCCCCCCACTTCCCTGCCCTTTTAGTCTCCTCTCATTGGAGTCTACCGACTTTTAATCAGTAAGTCACAGAACGATGTTGGTTGGCATTGGCTAGCAAGGTGTCAGACAGCCCCTGGGAGAAAGGTTGAGACTTCTACATGTCGCAGGATGATGCAGGATGCATTCGTTAGTCTGCAAGCAAGCGAACATGGTTGTCCTTTGCAATAGGTCGGTTGCTCGCGATCCGAAGGGTCCGGAACGTGATGCGCGAGGTTTTCGGATGGTAGGAGGCAGCAATGCCAAGAATTATTCGAATTGTTCGCATCTAGGAACTGAGAAGTTCCTTGTCACTGCTATCCATCTGCTGCTGATGCATCATTCCGCTGCATTCCGCTGCTGGAACGGCTGTGCCACATCTTCCAAGGGCTCGTCTTTCGCGAAGCAAGGGGGCCACTCAGAGTAAAGTCAACCTGGAGAATGCACGGGCATTCAACAGCAAGTGCATCTCAGAGACTCACAGCAAGCAGCAGACATCGTCAGACGGCCTCAATCTTCTGCCCGGCTGCATGTAGAGCAAAAACAGGATACCTCCGCGCCCGCGACCCAGAGAGTTGTCACAACCGGACAGACGTGGACAGGCTGCTGGCTATTTGCTCCTTGCTCTTTGCTGGGCCACTGACAGCACTGGCATCCGTTCCAGCGCATCATCTCTGAGCGCACAGGAACCAATCGACCTGGCATCTGCACTTGCATTTACTTTGGTGTGCTTCCAATACAACTGCAATATGGTGCAAGACCACTCTAGGCACGGCAGTGGCTGTGTTCCCAGCGCTCTGTTGACATAGAAGTGAGTCATTCTTGTCTGGATGTCATGCCTGACTCCTCAAGTTTGGCGAGCGTCTCTGCAATTGGCAAGCAGTAGGAGTGAGACTCAGTAAGGCTGTGACCCAGAGTCATCCCATCAACAAACTGAATCCTTGCTGCCCATCAGAGCAATGCCGCAGGACTTGCAACATTCCTAGGATTGCTAGGATTTGATTCGCTCAAATTCGCTCTCGTTGGATCTGAGGACTCCACTTTTCCTGGCAGTTGTTCGCATCAATTACGTCGCCGATCAAACCAATATTGCTGTTATACCTGCAGCAAAGGTGTGACATATATGCAAGACAGGTGCATGTGCACCTGTGACACGGGGACAGCTTTGCATGAACTTGAGCTCTGGGCAAGAATGCATCTTTGATGCGAACACTGTGTGCCTCATCAAACAAAGGCTGTGACCGGCAAAAGAAGGCAACTTGTGAAGCTTCTTGGATGCCTCAGCCCCTGTTGGACTGTGTCCGCAAAGCCCAACGGCGAGTCGATCTGTTGTCCTTGGCTTCCTGCTCTAATCCAGTAGCCGCAAACTACTGCGACAGGACAAGGAAGAGTGGCCGAGTTGCAGAATAAGACCAAGAGACGAAAAGTTGGAGAAGGCGCTTATTTCGGCATTACACAAACACTGCGTGTTCAACTTACAATCAAAGTAAATGCTGATTGGTATATCAGCGTCGGGTCGGGGTTCTTGAGGATCCTCACCTCGAAGAAAGAATTGCCTGGTCAGCTGGCTCAGACATGTTCTGGTATCCTTGCACCGACAGGAAGTCGTACAGCCAGCGTGAGCCTGACATCTTCAACGGATGCTCCGCTGAGATCACTTGCCAACCTGCATGGGTTGCCTGCCAAAGGTGACATGCCGACCGTTCCAAGCCAAGCACGTTGCGATACATTCATGCCATGTCATGCTCAACGACTTCAATGCAGGCTCTTCCTTGCTACCATTTCTTCCATCAGCCAAACTGACCCCTGACACCACTGATTGCGGCATCAAGGTTGCGCGGGGCTTTCTGAGAAAACCCTTGCCTCCACAACATTGCCTCGCCTTAGAGCGCATGGATTCGCATGACTCTTCAAACCCTTGCTTGCTTCATAACTTTGAGTCACAAGTCTGCTTGTCAAGGCTTGACTTGGCTTTGGTGCCGGGATTGGCTGGAAGTTCATTAACAGAGGAACTTGTCCGGGCGTGCGCAACGGACAATCAAGGTGGAAACAAGTATCACAAGGAAGGAAGCCACATAACGCTGAAGGCCATACATATGAGACAGGCAGGAGGAACATAGGTAAGAACAGCTACATAGGTTGCTAGATGACTACGCCGCTTCGGAAATATGTCCAATCCAACAGTTGCTAAAACATGTGCAGCGCATCTGGATGATGCGCACAAGGGTGTGGATTGATGCGATGGAGGGCACAAATAAACGATTCAAGCCAAGCCTCACTTTCAGGGATGTGGAGTGCTCAAGCTTGATGCAGTTTCCACCTGGGCAGCAGTCATCAAGCAGTGTTCGAACAGTGCCTGTATATGTTTCTGCAACTTTGTCAGTTCTTGGTAACAATCAGCCAGTGCCATGTATTCACCTCAGGTGCACTTTTGATCCCTGCTGCTTTCGGCTGAGAGTTTTAGCTTTGGTGCACCTCGGCCGATTCTGGCGATGAAAGCGTCAAGTTTTCTTGTGTTAATTGTTTCAAAGCCGTGCTGCGGGGAGTCTCTGTACTCTGTCCCGGTGCGGTGCATTGGAGTCCAGGTGCGGAGACCTACAAATGCGGTTGTGGCCCACCGCGCGGAGTCCCGGTGTGTCCCGATGGTGCGAGTTGAGTGTTTCTTTGCATTCGCGGCACGCAAACAGACATGGAAGCGGATGCATGATGGCTATATAGGCCTTGGCCGGAGCGGCAGCAACGCATTACAGAAAATCGGCCCCCTTTTTTGCCTGGAATGGGTACCCCCCCGTAGGCGACCACGATCTGACAGCGGACAGGTCGTCAGGAGCAGGGGCAGTTGAAGCCCCCCCCCCCCCCCCCCCCCCCTGTTCCTGCCCTACCCCCCCTGCCCCCCCCCTCCTTTTGCTTTTCGCCAAACCGTGAAGCGTGAACCCCCAGACCCCGCAACCCTAAACTACTAAACCCTATAAACCCAACCCTCATTGCTTGGGGTGCAGCGACTTGGGCGCTGCGGAATCACCATGCTCACGCGGATGCGCTGGGCCGGGCCGAGGCGGGTCGCGTAGCGTAACATTAGCATCATCATCAATCAGCCTCTGATACCCTGATCTTTGTTCGGTGTTAAGACCTGACAGAGATGGAAGCAGCAGTCTGTTGCGCATGAGTGACCCATTGCCTTGGTAAGTGGCAAGTGGTACTTTTACAAGCGGAAACCAAGAAAATGGCTCCTGCGGGGCAAAAACCATGTTCAAACGAGAACCTTTCTTGCTTTCTGCCGAAGTGCAACGGCCAACGCGTTTTGTCAAACAAGACTTGCTCCGAAGCATCAACAGTAGCATTCCGTAGCGGAGTAGCCAACTCCAGCAGCATACGAGACTTTTAAGAAGTGAGGCCTCTCCGTGTGCACAGCGAGTCGTATGTGCAGAGTGAAAGCGGGCTGGAACGATAAACAGAAGTCAAGCACTTGACTTCTGTTACATTGATGATTGACAGCGTTCAGCATCTTCTTAGACGCAAAGACTCTGCACGCGAAACAAACTTTTACACTTTGCATCTACTATTGTGAACTTTCGCAGATATGTTCTCCTGGGTTGGCGGACATTTTTCTGCGCCCAGATCCATGCATGATACGTATATGTATATAATATATATATTTATATACTATATACATACATGTGTATGTATGTCTGTATGTATCTCTCTCTCTCCATCTCTTTCATCGCACGGCCTGTCATGAATTTTCAAGGGCCTCGCGGCAGTTTGTGAGCTTGAATCATTCAACCTCTTCCTCAACACTGCTTGGTCACTTGTTGTGAAGCTGCGGAGAAGCTGCGCAGGCTATCTACGCTGACAGCAGCACAAGACATCGCAGCCATTCCAAGCCCAATGGAACAGCGTATAGTCTCACAAGGACTGGCAGAGTTGCAGGCCCGAGCCCTGCACAGATGAACTGCCGCAAGTTCAACGCTTCAGCCAGCAAGTCCTAAGCGACTCAATGCTCAAGCTCATTCTTGCCCACCTATGGCCAGAAGTGGCTGATTGGTGGGAGGGTGAGAGTCAGAGATGTGAAGCATCGATCGTAGCACACGAAGTTGACAGTGACAGGGGATCTGCCTTGCCCGAAATGCACCACTCATCAGCAACACTGGGATGCGTGCCATATTCAGCTGCTGGCTTTCTGGCCTGCACTTTGCTTGCTCTTATTAAGAACCGAGCGCTCCGACAGTCGAAAAGGAGAAGGCGCATCTATGGTGTCGGTGCTCATCAGCGCTCCATTGCTCATTCTTTGCATGAGATTCCATGAGATCAGAGGATGCAGCACGCGCGGGACCGGCAAGTCAGGCTTGTCCTGGCCGCGAGGTGAACCACAGTGAGGCACACTGGCATAGTTAGCCATATGCAACTTCTGCGGTAGAGCCTCCAGCTGTCTAAGCCAGTCGACGATGATGCCGAAGCAGACTGGATTGAAGTCCAAGAAGTATCTGCCCTGGCACCAGCTTCAATTCTCATTCGTGGCCATGTTTTCTGTCATGTGCTCAAATGGATTGACGAGGTTGCAGAAAGACCTCGTCGTCTCGGGGGACACTCTGAACATAAGCGTCGCTGAACATGTGATTCAAGTAACTTCCTTGGCCCAAAGGTGAGAGTGACAAGCCTTCGGTCAGCGAAGCAGACCGAAAGGGACGCAAAAAATAAGGGAACTTCGACGGAGGCCCGTCTGAGGCTCCGGCCTTCGATGTGGCAAAGGGCGCGCTTCGGAAGGAAGAGCAGCTCACCCGAACAGTTGATCTCGAGAACCTCACAAGTCTGGAGTGCCGTTCCATGCCTTTTGAAAACGCTTGCACTGATTTGGATTTCGGGAGTGCCGTTGTACAGCGCTGGTACATTCCAGATTGATGCGGGCCTCGCGGGAAGCTCCAGGAAGGATGCTCATCCGCTCGCGCAGCCGATCCAGCCGCTTCCACTCGTTTTCAATCTCAGCAGTTCAAGGGAAGGTTGGTGAGACACGATCTCGTCCTCAAACAGTCCAGCTGCAACGCCAAGTTCAGTTTTCAAGGCGCTCCCGACAGAACATATGTCAAGGGTCGCTTAAGTTCTCGGACTGCCAGGAGCCTCGACATGTACAAATTAGTGAAAACCACTTACGTTCCTGGCAACACTTGTAGAACACCGTTTGTCGAACAGAAAAAACGACGGCGACAGCAGTCAACCACAAACAACAAACAACAAGCAACAAACAACAACCAGCAACGACCAACCAACAGCCAGCAACCAACAACCAACGCACAAACAACCAGCGTAACAAACAACCCACAGCCAACAATGCCATGTTTTCAGCATGTGTAGCTCAATCGGTATCTCGGTTTGCGTGTTG